GATGCGAACATAGAAACACAGCTTCGTAACGTGATGCGTACGCGGCATTCATGTTGAAATACGCCCTTTTGTGACGAAAGTCAAACGATAACTAAGGATTTCTAGACAAAGCATCTTGGGAGAAGAGCCCCGCTATTGGCTCGCGTTCATATCCCCCCTCTAACTCTTTCGAGGAAAAAGTTTTGCCGTACACGCTCTTATCAAACATACTGTATTTGTAAAATAAATGTTGACATTTCTTATATACGTTTATATAAGTTTATGTATATTTTAATGTGACCTGGACACGTTAAATATGTGTAAGATAAATATTCCAGTTTGTGATACACTTTACCTTTGATAAAAGTGAACACGAAATTAAATGACCATGTCATTTTTAATGAAAAATCGGTCACTATCAAGTGAAAAATAGAACATTTATTTGTGCTATAGTCATATATTTCCGACATACAAACGTATTTTTTTAGTAATTTAATTGGAAAATTAAAATCAATGTATATATCCCAGTTAATGACACTTTTAATTTTAGGCTGTCCTAATTAATAACACGTCAGAGACCGTATCACTGACTGGGACAGTATACACACGTTCCCTATAATTGACTGGTACTATGTGATATACTTGTCTCAAAATAATGACAACGGTTTCACTATTGCTTATTTATTTAGTTTTTTTTTGTGAATGAAATAAGTCTGACTGTTTTTACTCTAATTAATCTATTAGATTGTATTTGATAAGTTGACATTAATATTTTCGAAAATTCTCGAAACGTAAGTAAAATATGATAATAATAATAATTGATATAAAAGAATGACAGTTGTCTCGATTTCTGGTCCTTTCTTCCTTTCTTGTCAGGTTATATCGACGTAAATATTACATTGTAGATTAAGTTAAACGTACTTGAACATATTTATTAGTGAAAAAAACTATAGGTTCCAGGAATATTTACATATTCATCCAAAAAATATAGAATTAACATTCTTTACATTATTTTATACTGACCTGTCAGTGACTGGAACATTAACGTATATTTATGTATTAATTAATGACAGCCAGATTTTAATCCGAAATATTAATTTACTAGCATGTACTCACTTGCTTATTCACAATAATCTTTAATAATTCGTTTAAGTTATTCTAATACTTTAAACCAACATAAATGCTTAAAATTATTAATATTTAATTACGCTCGTCACTCACAATGTCTTATAAGTGGTCACACATGATAAAGCTTACAAGTCAATGTACTTCAAATTATAATTATGAGATATTTGAAAGATAACAGACTTTACGATGAGACTATTACAAAAGATAATAAATGACCAGCAGAATATTTCAAAATATTACTAAGATATGAAGAAGTCAAACTGAGATTTTGTAATGTAAAATATTTTTAAAGTATCACTAACTAAATGTTTTAAAGGGCACTGTTATTAACTAGGACATTTACCTTATATATTCTGACTGTCGTTTAAACTTTTTTTCGAAACTCGTCATTGAGAAAACTTCGGACTAGGCTGAAACATGTATATAAAATATTGTTTTTTAAAAGTCATTTGTTTACTTTCAATGGGTGCAATATTAGAATTTTTACAGGAATTGTTGATACCAAGTGTAACTATCTGATATCACTTCTTTTTGTAGGTAATATAAGTTTGAATAATATTTTATTATATAAGAGATTACTGCTATAAGTTTATGAGTAGTAACTGATTACAATTGTATGGAGCTCGTGGAATAGCGAATAGTCACAATCATGACCATTAGATGCGCTCCTAACTTTATCAGAAAAAATGTGTTCACTGAATTTCAAAACGATTTGAAAACTTTTTTTCGATGCAGTTTGGAACGTCGCCGCAACTTGCACGCGGTCCAGAGAGGATTAGGAGGATATTCACGGTCGGTGGAGGACAACGGTATTGATTAAGGGGGTTTGTTGGGAGGAATCTCTGTCTCTCTCTCTCTCTCTCTCTCTCTCTCTCTCTCTCTCTCTCTCTCTCTCTC